GTGTGTAATAAATTCACCAATGGCGTTAAATATTTCACACCAGAGGGGTTATTTTTGTCCGATAACCCACCCCACACACACACACACACACACACACACACACACACACACACTCACACTTTAGGTGGGGTGGCGTTGCTATAGCTTGAGGACTGGCAAGTGGACTGGACTGGAGTGTGTTTGTTTTGGGAGAGCTCAATCATGCAAGTTGTTTGTACAACAGGCCTCTTCTGCACTGTGGGAAAACTCTCACATGGTCGTCTGACTGACTGCTGACTGACTGACTGGGGAGTATAAGGATGACTGTGTCTTCACTGAGAAATGGCAGTACTAGCCCAGCCCCTTGTACTTGTCAGTGTAACAAGTCTCAACAGCTACAACAATGTACGAGGGAACAGAGTCAAGTGGAGCAGATAAAGTAACATCGCAAAAGTTGATGCTAGCTTTGTTTCCAACAGCTCCTCCTGTGATTAGGTGCTGCTGCTTGTGTTGAGGTATGCAGGGAATGGCCAAGCTGACAGCTGAGGAGGTGTGTGTGTGTGTGTGTGTGGGTCACTGTGAACATATCTGTGTGTATTTATATGTGTGAAAGAGACGACAAGATACAGAAAGAAGGTTATGAGTAAGTGTGAAATCTGGCGCAACCTTGCACTTAAAATACATACACCCAACTACAGCACAAGATACACACCTTCAATACAATAACTCAACATGCCAGAACACCAGCTGAAAAGGAAGGGAAGAAACAAACCTCCTCTCTCAGGCTCACACACACACGTTCGACAGACTTACATGGAAACAAAGATAGCACATGTAATGGCTAACGCGTGTAGACATGACAAACATTCGAGGCACTCTGGAAACACACACACACATGCAGGAAATGTTATAAAGACAGAGTGGCTGTGCACATGTCTTCACATAACTGCAGGAGGTGCAGTAAGCCCCGGCCGGCAGCTAGTGCGGAGCAGCTTATGAGGGGTGAGGGGTGGGGCTGGCTTTTCAGGTTAAGGAAGTCGTGACATGTCCCTCCAGCAGGCCCATAAATCAGGCAGCTCAACCTCACTAAGGATGGCTCTTGGGAGAGAGAGAGACATGGAGCACACAGCACACACATACTGGCACGAGCGCCAGCCTGTTTAGCTCACACACACACAGTCGCGTAAACGTGCACAATGGCGTGCATGCCGACAAACACACGCACAAACCCACAGCAGGAGTGCACACTCTGTTATGTAAACAGCTGTGGCACTTTTTGCCTCGGGCCTTACACGCCACACCTCTCACTATGTGGTCGTATGTGTGTGTTTGTGTTTAAGGTGTGAATGTTGTGTAATCAAGGAATTATAATTGTATCTTCGAAATAGCACATCCGGTTTCTACACAATTTAACTTTACACTCCTTTAAAAACATGTGATCTTTTACAACATGCGGTTACACAACATACAAATCGGTCACTGTGTTCTAAGCAGAATAAAGTTCAATGAAGAGAATCACATCAGTGTCTAGAGACAGCACATGCAAACATCCGATTGGCTGTTTATGGCCAGTGGCCACAATCATATCCGCTCACTCACCTCTACAGAAAATGCTCTTTCACTCACTATTTGATCACACTGCTTGCAGTAAAAAGATGATAAAGCTTAATAATCAACCAGGTTGTTTCACACATGACGTTGCAATGGCTCATAAAATGCAAAATGCAAGGGAGAAAGGTGAGTAGTGTGAAAAGGCTTTTCTCATTAGCATATGAGACTTGACCTCATACTTGCTGTTAACAATGATGTCACATGCTTGTACAGAAAGTACTTACGTCACAAGCAGAATTATTGTAGACATTGAAATAACTGACCCTAAGGTTTAGAAAGAAAAGACCTTCAGTCAGTTTGCTATCCTGCACATCCAGTGTCTGATGGTTTTTACAAGGAATAATCTTCTCTCATGTAAGGTGATTTGACTCAGCAGCTGCAGATTTTGGAACTAATAAAGCAAAGATTTAATTGAGGCTCTAAACCCTCACTGCAACTTTCTTAATAAAACTAAAACATGTTGCCTCAATTTTCTCTATAGAATTACCTTTCATGTGGTATGTAAATGAGATTGTTATGGAACAGCTTAGTCACACTATTGCTTTACAGAGCAGATCTTGTCTGATCACCACCAAATCTCTGCTAAGTGCAGTGCAAAACCACAAGTGATTACACAACACTAAAGATACTAATCTGAGGTACCCAGTTCCAAGAGTTTTTTGACATGGAAGTGCTTCTGCATGTGTCAAAAATCATGGAAATCTTGGTGATATGTAAGATTCATATATATATACAATGAATAATAAATTACTGTGATGGATCAGGAAATCATTTTTAAAAACTTGGGAGAGCAAAAACAAACTTGTTGTGTCAGCAGTTCAAAGTAAATCTTGGTTGAAAGTTGAAACCTAAAGGTTGTCTGTGAAGGCACTAAAAAAGACTGATCTATTTTCAGTCTACTTCTTAGCTTTAACTGCAAACACTTTTTAGAAGAAACTATCTTTTACACACACGCTGAATTTTACAAGTTGAGACAGTTAAAGTTCGTTTACGAGGAGGTCGACTAACCGTTTTATAGAAGGCATGAATTGGGCTGGCGGTAAATTAAAAACTTGCTTTGACAGCCATAAATAGTAAAGTTTCTGATGTGTTGGCATGTTTGGGGTTTGGTGTTCATCGGCACCCATCTGTGAAAGCAAAAGCTGAGAAGAGACTGTTAGAGCTTCAGCTCTATCTACAACTGACATTGTGAGAGCTGAAGAAAACTCAAGTATTGTTAACAGAGCAGGTCGTCAGTGAGCAAAACAAAACTGTTGTCCGGAGAGTGAACGAGAAAAGAGATGAGAGGGAGGAATAGTGACAGAATGAGACAGAGAGGAAGATGCAAGCCTCTTGCTTCACAAGTGCTGAGGTCCTCTCTTGGCTACACCGCAGCAGCTCCTCTCTCTCTCCTGCTTTTGCCTACTAAATTCTGAGCATGCACTTCTGCCTGACCAGTACACTGTCAGAATGAGATATGCAGCGATTGCTCTGGAAGAATCCGGCCATGCACAGTGAGGGGGGGGGAGAGAGAGAGAGAGAGAGAGGAAGAGCAGCACCTGACCCTCGTTAAATCATTGAGGTACCCTTGAGCAAAGCATTTAACCCACAACTACACAAGTGGGGCTGACCTCAGCAGCACCCAAGTGTGAATGTGTGCAAGTGTGTGAATTTGTAGGAAGGTATTGCTGAAAAACAGCTTCTACTACAGATACATAAAGAGAATCAATTATAGAAAAACAAAAACCCAGTGTTACTCAAATGCATTTAACCAAGTCTTAATTATTCATCATTCAATTAGTCATCATCAATATGGCTTTGACAGTCACATAATCACCCTGTTTGCAGGTGCCACTATCACATATCAATATCCCCCCCGCTCAAAAATAGAAGTTTGTGCATCCATACATTTTAAATTAAACTTATTATTAAATGCTTGTGAGACTATCCATCCATCATTAGGGAATAAATCCATGGATGATTAAGAATACTAAAAGGATGACAGCAGAGCTAAAGACATCCACTAAGAGCTCTACTTTAAAAACAACACCCTGCCAGCTCAGTCAAAACAGCAGAAAATAACAAGAACTGGTGATCAATAGATATGATGGATAAAAGTAAGGAGCCTGAAAACAACACTACCAAAGGTTTCAAAGATAAGAGTAACCAGAAACAAAAAAAAAAAGAAAAGAAGACTTCATCAGATCAAATGAACAATTGCTGCCAAATGTAATACAACCAAATGCAGAGCTGTGTCAAGTTTAATTTTGTAAGCACAGAAAAACTTGGAAAAAGCTCAAGATTCAAGTGATACTGCAGAGGGCCTGTTCAGATTTTTTTTCCTCCACCTGAGAGAGCCAATAAATCATAGGATTTTGTACTCAGCTTAGGCAATGACTGGGCCAGAGGTCAAACCAGTAAGACAGATGAAAACAAGAGATTGTCTGGAGGCCCATTAAAAGGAAATTGCTGAGGAGGGACAGAGACATTCATGTCCTGTCTTTGTGGGAGCAATGGGAGCAAGTGGGTGTATATGTGTTCATAATATTACAATACATGCTGGAGGGTGAAAGGTACTGTTATATGGTAGACGTTATGACTATGTCAGTATATCAAAAGTCTAAATAGTGATACTGATCTTGTAGTCATCCGAATTCCAGAAACATCCATTTGAGGTCTGACATTTGTAAACATTTTTCTGAAGCATTCTTTTCATAGGTCTGTGTAGGAGAGAAAAACAACCGCCACATGTTTTGTTTTCTCCACGTTTTTCATCATTTTCTTTTCCCTCTCTGCACATTCTTTGTTCTTTGTCATTGCTGTGCTCATTTAGCCACAGAATGAATGTGTACTCTGACAAAGCTGTGTGGAGAATGTGGTTCGGCTGAATTCTTATGGTAGCACACAGCTATTGTTGTCTCCAGAAGAAGGAAAAAAAAAAAAAAAAAAAAAGCCTTCCTGGAAATCCCTGCAAGTGGCAGCCTCCACGTGCACACAGTTCAGCGGAATAAACATTTAAAAAGCACCTCTCACTTTATTGGTCCTACACCTCTGAGGCGTGTTTTTTTTTTTTTTTTTTTTTTTTTTTTTTTTAAATCACTTATGGGCTGGTATGATTTCTGGGGGCTAAGTCGCTGCTTTTGAAAATGTTTTGACATCTTTCATGACACACAGGTCATTTCTGCTCTGCTGCACCTGTCATGTAAATTGACACTTGGCCTTCTGGGGCTGTTCATTAATTCCCAGCTTGGAAACATAGGGTCAAATCACGCAGCATATTAATTAACACTCCACTAAGACATACAAAGTGAAGTCATAGGAAAAGCACAAATCTCTTGCTTATCACTTAACCCCAAATTACTGAGGGTGTGAAGGTGGATAAAAAGAGAAAACTAAGGAACCAAGGAGGGAGATTGAAAGCGTTGATCTACCTGCCATCATCTTCTGGGCTTCATATGGCTCCATGTAACCATCATTCTCAGTTGTCACTTTTTCCGTGGTGGTCTGTGTGCCGCCAGCCTGCTCAGCGTCGAAAGGGTCCGCATAGTCTTCGAGGATAATGAGCTGCAGGAGGAAAAAAAAACAGAGGGAAGGTGAGATGTTGGGAGTGGGGAAAAAAAAAAGTGAAACTCATTTTGCTGCTCTATTGAACACTACAACATGGGTAGGTGTCAGGCGAGTTGTGTGACAGATACTGCTGTGGCCTAGGACAGGGCAAATTGATATCCATGAGGACAGGCCAGGAGATAAAGGGAGAAATACATAAATAACACCCCTCCTCAGTATGCCTCAGCACACCACCACAAAGCCTCAGCTTTTAGCCTTACAGCACGCTCTCTGCTACTGCTGGTCTGCCTAATTATATGATAGCCCAGTGACAGGCCTACATTTCAAAAGTAGAGGAAAGAGGACCAAAAACTGCTCAACTTTCTTAAGAGAAACAATTTGGCAGATTTATGCCAAGCTGGCAGTGAGCCACGGCTAATTGCAGTCTTGCTCTTTTGCTGAGCATTTGGTGCAGTGGATGGCAATTAGGTGGATGTCCTGAGACCCAGAAATACAGCTAAAACCTTCAGGGAGAGGAGCAGCAGTCAGCATCTATCGTGCCTTTGGGGGATGTTTGTTTCCTTGAAATATTTGCTTCATCTACCAAGACGCTGCTTCAGAAGTAAAGATCTTCCCTTTGAAAGGAAATAAACTCCCATCTGAGCCATCTGTCCACTTGGACATTGGATCTAATGAGGGGGTGTGAGTGCAGAGGTTTGGGCCAGCTGTTAGAAAATTGACTTTTTCCTCTGTTGAGGCTCCTGACAGTCTGGTCCTGCCAATTGGTTGGCAGAGGAGAATGGCACCGCATGTTCTCTAACTTGGAAACATCTTAGCGAAGAGTTTTCTAAGGTTAAAACCAGTGCACAAACAAGGAAACGCTTATGCAAACACCTAAGTGAGTATGTAAATATATGACTGGCACTACACCCTATGAGTCATGTGTAACAGGAAGGGATTTGGTCTCATTATAAACAAGCTCATCACTCATCTGGTGGATGGGGCCAGGCGGGGCAGACTGGAGGTGGACTGAGAATCATGCCCGCCGTGCTGTGCCTCCACCTAGCCACCTTTCCTGAGAACAACCACTCACCAGATTTGCCACAGAGAGCACACTTCCCAGAGGCAAACTCCATATGCAGGCCACCCATGAGAGTGCCACACACACACATACACACCCACCTGCCAAACCTCAGGGAAGTAAGCAGAATGTATATACCTTTCCAAATGTGGGATTTCTCTTCATCTGGGAAACCAGTGACATTTTTACAGTACCGATCAAGGTCACGTGTCATCTGCACAGTGATAAATGTTTTAAAAAAAATATGTTTTGAAAAGTTTCCAAGTGTTAAATGCTAGAAAGTTCACCAGGGATAATTTGTAAGCTGCTTAGTGACAGAGAAAAGCTGGCAGGTATATTCCTGCACAGATCATCTGCACTATACATGGATTAGGCAATAATAGCAAAGGAAGTACCACGGATGTGTTTCATAGCAGCTACTGTGTGTTAAATCCACCTTCTTCAATATTCCCTCTCCGTCCGTTTTGGGGAAAATAACAAGGACTTTTTTTTCTGCCACAGCATAATTATGGGTTCCTCAAATGTTTTGCTTCTGTGAATTCAAGCGGGGGGGGAAATCCAATACAAACATTGTCCTGGTTTGTTTTTGTGCCACAAAAAAATATACATATTTCACTCAGACGTTTAATTAGAATTCAGCCAATCTGATAAGCAACATTGTTGCGGCCCCAGAGACCCCAAAACTCTCTGCAATATTATGCATCACAGCCACAGCATCATTACCATCTCACACCTTGTTGCATGGAAACGCAGCCATCGGTAATCATAGTGTTATGTGCCAAACCCACCTCAGATAGAGTAACTGCAAACACAGCCCAGACCTAAGAATAAGTAACCCTCACTAACAAAACATATGAATCACCTAAATGGGAGGGATGAAGGCCACTGCCCATCTGACTGTGGTCCGCATACTGTAGCAGAGTGGCCCGAGGTTTGAGACCAAAGCCCACAAATGTGATAAAACACTTCAGCTGCTACATCTTACATTCTCTTCAGCAGTGCCCACAGTGAGGTTTTAGCAGAGCTCACACCTTAAACTGCTCCCACCTCACCACTTCATGCACCTTCATCATTAGCCAAAGGATGTTTGGGCATGTTTCAGGAAATAATGGCAATCACTTATTGAGTTATGTGAGGACTGGAGCTACTCCAAATACATGACATCATCTTTTGCCTTTCCTGTTGACATAATGCAGGACAAATAAAGGGCAGGGTGTGTGATGAAAACGTCTGATAGCATTAGACAGAATGATGTCTTGGAATTAAATGCAATCATTAAAACTAAAGCTTGGATTTAAGACTCAAACACAATACACCGCTTGTCTCACAAAGGTAAACAAGGAAAAACCCTCCACTTGGAAGCTTGTCGCTCTAATATGTGTTTTTACCCTCCCAAACAATCAAAATCAGGCTCAACAAAAATCTAATAGGCATGTCGGTACACTGAAAGCAAAACAGGAATCTGCAATCAGCCAGATGGTTCTTGGTTTTTCTACCCTCCTAAAATACTTTCTGCAGTCTGAGCAAGCGTCTTAATAAATCGTTTACATATTTTGACTAAAATATTCTGCATTAAAACATAGATAAAATGGTTTTGCAAAACAATGGAAAGTATCTACATCCAATACTTCTCAATTAAAATTCTGTTGTTCTGGTTTAAACATCCACAGCTGGTAACACTGTGCACAGCTAAACTATGGACCCTGTGTCCACAAATAAGGATCACAGGGGCTTGTCATCAAACAGCTTAAGCTGCAAAAAAAAGATTTACATTAAACAAGCATGTGTATATTTAGCTGTGAGTTCAGCAGTAAAAACTCCTTTCAGCACCTGGCTCATGTTCTCATTCCAGTCAGCAGGGACACTCAACTTTTCTTTTCCCATCAAAAAGCAAATTCAAGCTGATGACAAACCAGTTTCCAGCCTCTCTACTGCTGGATAAAAATGAAACAAAAAGAAGTCGGTTATGTTAGAATCAAGCTGCCTCTTGCTATTTCACTTTCATTTCTAACTATTTGGCAAATTTTAAAATCTTTTTATTCAGGGGGATTTTTTGAGCCCCTATCAGCTCCGTCTGCTGTAACATTCATACCTTTACAAACCAGTAACGTGTACATCTACAGCACTGTGTTGTCATCCATTAGCAAGCAAAAGACCCTTCCAGGGCATCAGGGGATTTGAACCATCAACTATTTAGATCAACAGACCGCCTCTATGAGGTGCCATCACCCGGCCCCTGCAGCCTAGTTCATGTTTGGGTGGAGGATGTAGTTAATATTTCCAAATTGTTCCAATGTGTCCTTCCTGTCCCTCTGCACTAATGACTACTTGACAGCAGGAGGAGCATGGGGTTGTGAGGAGGGGGTGCTTGTGAGCTTGAGAGCAGTGGCGTCGCCTAGGGACACACCATCTGCCTTGTGGCATGCCAGGGTGTGTCAGGACTGCATCCAAGCCACACTTGTCATGAAAGTAAAATTTCCCCCTCAGCACAAGATTGCAGTTCCCTCAATATATCAGGTCTTTGCTAAGCTGTGATGTAAGCCTATATAAATCTCACAAAGCCACCTCACAGGCTTAGGCCATGTCCCTGTAGTAGTTTGGTCCTTTACTGGTCTGCAGCATGGAGAGAGAGAGAGAGAACTCACTCAATTACTTTCATTCCACAGCTCAGATCCCAGGTTGGCAATGTCTTACACCTGCCAGAGCTCTGGCAGCTTGCAACAGAGAGAGCAACAGACTTCTTGAAATGCACTGCGGCTCTCAGGTGTTGAGGCTGACTTCAAATCAGTGGGAACGGAGGGAGAACATTAGGGAAGGAGGGAGACTACAACAGGCACCTGCCACTTTGGCTCATTGTTCGACAACGCTAGAGCTTCTAGGATTACAATTCGATTGGGCCTCGGTCTTCCATTAGAAGTGAGAAAATACGGGCCACAATTCTCCTTCTGCACTCTTAATGGAGGGAGAATGTGTTTGGCCAGCCTATCAGATCATCAAGTGCAAAATAATAAAAATTTCCGAAAATGCATTAGTTGAAACTTGAGAACTTGGACGGAAATTTGGTTATAACAATTAGAAAATAGGCTGCTTCATTTCTCTTTAACTGCATTTTGAGCAAGCTACATGTCCAGTGTTCCATTTTACCACGCAACAACCAGATAAACACTTTCAGACATATGCATAGGTGAAAATACAGACTAGTTTTAGTCCTGCTGAATGAGTGCAGACAGGGATACCATATTATTGTCATGACTGGTGAGGGAAGGATTGAATGCATCAGGGGCTAGTCAAGGTTGAAGCCCATCGGAGACTGCCAGAAAAGTCAGCAGGCTCTACAATGAGAGACGAGGAAAAAAAAAAGTAGGGGACTGACATGTGTGATTTATGTCTCACGGCACAAGGGATTTCAACCACTGATAACCTAATACAACTCAGTGCTTAGCAGCTCAATTGCATCTAGGCCTTTACAAAAGGCTTTCTTTGCTGCTATTTCTCTTTTGTTCTTCAGTGCAACAAAAAAAGTAAACACGCCACTATTGTCAGGACAGAAAGCCATTTTAAAGACAAGAGCAAGGGAGGGGAGAAAAGACAAAAGATTATGTTTAGTATGTTTAGTCCTCATGGATGGAAAAATGTCCAAAAATGTTCATAAACAAAATTCAACAAGCTGTAGCTGCTTGAAGTGCCTCTGCTGATACCTGCTCCACCTAATCTTTGTCTATAAACACATTATGAATGCTTTGTGTGCACTGTGCAGTCATCTGAAGATAACTTGGCCACAATATTCCAGAAAGAACATACTGGCAGGAAACACGCCCTCGAGGCAATTTATTTGAGCAAAAATGATCACAGCTTCTCTGTTGACATAATACAGTTACTATCAATAAGATACTTTCATGTTTCTAAGAAGCGAGTGCAAATCTGGTTACAATTCATT